TTACATTACTTTGATGTACTTAATTGTATGCAGATGTTACTAATAAATCTGCTGTATTTAATTGTATTCAGATGTATTTTAACATTTTTTATTAGCTGAAAATGCAACATGTTTTTAACTGAATCTGTATGATGTATTTAATGGCATCATTATTCCTGAAGCACTGCTGTATTTTAATGTATTCTGATGTATTTTCAAAGTTATCAGTAGTTTGTAACTAACATATGTATTACAGTAATATGTATTTAATTAAATCATTATTTTTGAATAACATGTATTTAAATGTATTCAGATGTATTTTAACATTAATGGGTAGTTGTAAATATCAGATGTATTTAACTGAATCTCTACGATGTACTTAATTGCCTCTTTATTCTTGAATTTCTGCTGTAATACATCAAATTCAGATGTATTTTCAGTATTCAGCTGCATTCAGCTATATTATTCAGCTGTATTCTTTAATATGTACTTTTCTGTATTCAACTATAATTTTCTGTATTCAGCTATATTTTTTCTGTATTCAGCTGTATTATTCTTTAATATGTGTGATCTATTGGACTAACACTATGTAATTATATTTGTGTATAGCATATTGACGTCATATTCTACTATCTGAGAAAGAAGGCAAAGTACAACCAAACAAGCAACTGTTGATTGTATATTCAAGACAAGAATCGCTGAAATCTTCGACAGGTATGCTGATACAGACAGTAATGCTAATTTAGCCAAAGAAGAGGATGTGGTATGTGAGTACATAAGGGGCTACAGATTGCTAGCTAATGTACCTTGGGATACAGTTGACAATGTCTTGATACCAGTCAACTTGAAGGACAAACTACACTGGATATTTGCTGTTGTCTCATTCAAGGAGAGATGTATCAAAGTGTATGACTCGTACAGATCTGCAGGTCATGATGCCTATGTAGCTTCTGAGATAGATAAGCTAGCTAAGCTTGTACCTCTGTATCTATCAATCAGTGGCTTTTACAGAGATAGTCAAGGCATAGATTTGTCTACTTACTCAGCATACACTGACAAGTCACATACTGATCCCTTTGAAGTTGTTTTCATATCAAATCTGCCTCAACAGAAAGCTGGGAGCATGTATGTATTCAATCATCATTCTTGTATCATTTTAAAAATCTAATTGTATGAATTATTTTTAATTGTTTCAATCAACATTTTTTTAGGGATTGTGGGGTGCATGTTGCGGCATACGCAGAGTTTCTGAGCACTCTTGGTGAGATTCCACAAACAACATTTGATTCCAATATACTCCGTCAAAGATATGGTGCTCTCCTCTAGGACTATGCTACGCGGAAGATAGACGCTGATGTTATAAGCGAGAATGAAGCACCCTCAAAGATTGCTAGGCAAATCACAGAGTCAGATTCAAAGTTGCAGATAGTGTTAGAGTAGTTTGAGGTGAATGTAGTTTTTAGGTGACTACTGTTTTTTGAATAGTTTTTTGGTGAAGATGGTATTCAGTTAGAAAAAAACCATGTATTAATCACTTTATCAACAGTGTTCGTGTATGACAATTGCAACTTTTCAATCCATATTTCATTGTTTTGTTCATAAGTATTCATACTTAATCTTCAGTTTATATTCATATGTATCTTACAGGATATAAGTATGTAATAATATTCAGTCACTTGGCTTGAACAGGTTATACGTATTGAACAGGTTAATATCAAAGTCAGAAACTGTATGTATATTGAACAGATTATACGTATTTATTGAAATTGTTATATTATAGCTGAGTATATAGATGTATTACGATGTATTCTGACTAGTTATGTATATTTAACTCGCACACTATCTATGATTGTATGTCTAAGTATATGTGTCTAAGTATATGTGGACAAGGTTGTATTCGATTGTATTCAACACAATACTGCAACTAAATATATACAGAATCTAATCAGGTTATATGTATTTATTGAATTTATTATATTATAGCTGAGTATATAGTTGTATTGCGATATATTTTGACTAGTTATGTATATAACTCAGGCACTGTCTATAATAAATTGTCAAAGTATATGTGGACAAGGTTGTATTTGAATGTATCCAACACAGTACTGCAACTAAATGTATCCAGAATCTATTCACGAAAGGCATTTCAGAATTTATTACTTGACAATGTCATCATAAGTATTGACAAACCGTTGGAGCACTAATACATGTCAGAGTGTTAACTAAATACTACGTGGAGCATTTCTACACGTTCGCATGTTATGTCCTCCCTGCCCACATATGCTACATGAATGTTGCTTTTTCGGCTGCAACAATTCACTTAAAGGTTTATCGCGCTTCTTCTTTGGCCTTCCAGGAGGTCTTTTCCATTTGGGTGGTAATACAACCTCCTCTGCAACATGTGCTGGTATATTCCAGTCATTTCTGTCCGGTAGCGGGTACACAGGCACATCGTATGTCATTACAACAGAATTTGGTTTGTAATAGTTAGAGCAATATCCTTCTGGCATTAGAAACTTGCTCTTCAATACAGCCCAAGCATGTGGGCATGGTAATTCATCAACTTGGAACCTCCCACAAACACATTTTCTTTCTAACAGGCAGACGGTGTAATGCCTCCCTCAATCGTTAATCGTATGTAAGTATTCAGTTGATGGTACCACCTACATTTAAACATAGAACTATAAGTTTTGAGCACATATAACTGAATTACCATATGTATAATGTTGAATTACTCAGTTACATACAACTGAAATGTTTGAATACAGAGAATACATCATATATTTAGACCGGCAGACTATAAACTATAATTACGTCTTAGCTTATGAATACAATGACATACATCAAAAATCTACCGGACTTTAGGCAACTGAAGTGTAACAAAAACATTAGAAGGCTACGACATGATAATACGTCTATCTAAAAAATTCTGTATAATACAGATTTGTCAGTTGTATTCTGATGTATTCGAATAGTTGTATTTATAAGGATTTTCAAAGTTCCCATCAGTATTTTATTCTAATTGCAATGTCTTTATTCGTTGTATGCGTATGTATTATATTAGGACATATATTTCTATCAATGATATCTTACTCTGGCTGATTTTTGCAGAATGTATTTAGTTATATTCATGTCAGATCTTCGATGAAATATGTGTTGTATGCAGTTGAATTTAGTTGTATTCATGTCAGTTGTATTTATGAAAAATGTGTTGTATTCAGTTGTATTCATGTCAGTTATTTCAGAAAACAATTAAGCTATATAATACAATGACATTAAAATAAAACTTACAGTCATGCGTGTAGACATTGCCTCATTCAAAGTCAGCATCTCCTGGTATTTTTTTCCAAGCGTTGTGTATGTCTGTGTAGCTTCTTTGCGGTTACAACAATTCCAACGTCCAAACATCTTCCTAACTTCTTCGAGGAAGTCGTATATTGGCAATTTCCTTGCTGACACTAGTGCGACATTGATTGACTCAACAATATTTGACGTCATGGTCCATCCCCTGTTAACAGGTGCATACAACCTAGCCCACTTTTCGTATCCAGCTAACTCCAAGTATTCTTTCACCCTAATATCTACCATCTCCACCTTCTCCACCAGACTGTCAAATTCAGCTTGTGTGTATACTTTTGCCATCGAGAAGTATATCTCGCTCAACTTTGCATGGCTCTTTTTGAATTTATTATATATGTTGCTCCATAGATGCCATATACAAGCAAAATGAGGTACATCTGGATACACTCTCGATACAGATTTAATGATACTCTCATTTCTATCTGAAGCGATGCACATGTTTTCCCTGTCACCGTATGCTATCTTGAATTGCTCAAAGAACCACGTCCAAGCAGCATCGTTCTCTGAATCAATAACACCATATGCTAGTTGCAATATATGACATGTAAAGATAATTGAATACATATTTTTAAAACATGTATTTCAATCTTTAAAATATTAATAGATTTTATTATAATTCACGCACTCACCTGCACCATCCGATGTGCTTGCCGAAACAAATGTCCCGGTGTAGTAAGATTTTAGGTGACTTCCATCCACAACAACAATGGGTCTACAATGATCAAACCCCTTTATAAAGGCATACAAAGATATATACACGTACATGAATTCATTTTTGGGCGATTTTACCATTTTGATGTGGGAACCTGGATATGTCATATCCATTGTATATAAGTATCCTGGTAATTTTTGTATGAATCAGCCGGTTCACCTCTCAAAAAATTCATTGCCTTTTCTTTAGCCCTCCACGCCAACATGTAGCTAACATCTACACCTAAATCTGATTTCACATTATCAATAATATCCTTTGGGGTGTATTTTCTCTTATGATTAGTAAGCTTAGGCCTAATCATACCACATATAAGGCTGCTGCTTGCTTGTCGCTGCTCATACACCTTGTCCTTCAGAGGACATGTATGGTTATCAATGAACTCTCTCACTTTAAATAGTTCTGATTTGTTAATGCTTGAAACCTTAAACCTCCATTCACAATCTTCTGACATACATAATAATGCATAGCTGCAAAGAATTAATCATTATACATATGATTAGCATAACTGTTTACAAAAAATGCACTAATATACACATGAATACAATCTGACATGAATACATTCTGACATCTATATGTATAAATTATTATACACCTGAATTCAATTAGAGTTATATGCATTTAAATACAATGAACACAACCAAATACAATTATTTTTATATGCATTCACTTAGAAAGGACAGTAAACAAATACGAAATAATAGAGACACTGTAATGTAATTATACCAGTAAAATACATATGAATACATGTATTTAAGGACCATAAACAAACATATGATAAACACATTAGTGATGATCAAGTGGAAATCCACAAATACGCATAAATACATCAACGTTTAACTTACAACTCCAACCAATAATACAAAATACAAAAAAAAAAAAAAATTAAATACACGCAAACCTGACAGCATTAGACCTATCAACCCAGAATTGAAACCTTTGCGATATAGCATAATTCTCCATCACCTCTTTCAATGTAGCCTTATCCTTATATACTTGTCCAACAATAACCTCCCTTTGACTAGTTTTTGAAATTATCAAATCCTTGTTCAGTTCAAACACCCTAATTGCTTCTCCTGAATTGACAAAATCTAGAGCAAGCGTATCACCTATACCGGAATCATACCTTTGGAGTGATTCGTCTATTTGCACAATATCGCCTTCACTTACCACCGGATACAAGTTCTTTTTCAATCGTTATTATGCACAAAGGATACATCCCGAATTCTCTGTTATCTTTTTTTAACTCTACATACACCATGTAACCCATGTCATTGTGTATTTCCATTGGCGTGCTCTTCCCTTCTACTTTGTATTTAATTTTAATGGATTTTGTGCTCAAATCTATGCCCAGTTGATTAGGAATTGAAGCAACCAAATCATTATACGACGCAGACTCCTTTATCAGTATTCCCTCAATTGAAAAATCAACGTAATTGCTCTCATCGTTCCACTTGCCAGAATGACGCAACAACACTGTTAAACTTGCCATATGTATAATGGAATTATACCGTATTTTGTATTCAATTGTATCAATCGTACTTTTCCGTGGTTGAATTGAGAACTGGGAACAGAGAAAAGGGAGAAGTGAAATTCCAGATGTTGCTCTTGTTTTCGCTAATTTTTTTGTTGAATCGTGAATGGAAGAATACAGATTAATAGGTAATAGTTTTTGTTCGTTGAGTTAAATTAGGAGAATATCAGGTGATTTGATTTCCTTTCCGTTTTTAACAAGTTAAACCTTCCAGGTATTACGCAAATACGTTACTGTATTCACGATAAGGCCGCGTGAATACAGTCAAATACATATCAACCTTAGCTGGAATTCCCTTTTTTCACGCCTACTTTTGCTATTGTATTAATGAATACAATAGCTTAAATACATCAAATACATTGTATAACCACATATAAGGTATCTATAACACGTAATATAGCAAAAGGTATCTATAAATGACTAATTAGACCTAAAAGATGGTGCTTTATGAAAAATTTTCTTTTTAGAACCCAACAAATTTGGTCCGAAATTGGCCAAAAAAGCACTCCAAAGTCTCTCACAAAACTAAAACAATGTAGAGGGATCGTTGATCAAACTTATCAACGGTCCACATTAATCATGCTTTTTCCCTTTAATTTTAATCCCTCCAGTTTGTATCTCAATCGTTGGATCAACATGATCCAACGGTCACCGTTTAATCCCCATAATTGTTTTCTTTTTATTATTTAAACTAAAAAAATATGAGCCATTGATCTAATTGATCCAACGGCCCAAGATCACTCCTCCATTTTAAACATACCAAACCCGCTATGTCATTCCCTCCCCCATTTCCCTTTTCCTCTCACACTCTCGTAGTCCTCTCCTCTCTACAATCTCCGAGACTTAGTACAAATTGATGCAAAGTCACTAAGAGAAAATTGTGAGACCATTATCATTACCCCCCTCCCGCCGCGAATCTAGCCGAAAATGCCTATTTCCATCATCCCATTCCAAACCCCCAAATTCCAAAACCCTAGCTTCAAATGTGAAAGGCCCCAAATCTCATCATCACTCCCACCTCTGTTCAAAATTTCCATTAAAACATGGCATGCAACTTTAGATTCACGGGAATCTCAACCTCACGGTGACGTATGACGACCCAGAGGCCAAAAGAAGGGACCTCTAGGTAAAAGCTTTGTCCAGAGGTCAGTAAGCTTCAGCGACTAGTCTGTTCTGATAGGGTAATCCTTGTTCTCTTTTCCGTTTGTTTTTCAATCTTTTACCCTTGATATCGTCATATGATCTTTCATTAGTGTTCATAATTTTTCTCTGTCTTCTATCAATTTTGAATGTTCAAAATCATAACCTTAAGGCCAATCCCTGGCTATAAATACCGGCATAAATGCCTCACCTAACAATCCAACAACTAGTAATAAATGCAACTACACTAAAGTATAAATATCTGTGCCTATCGCTTATATTGTCTTTTCCTTTTTTTTTCATTGTAGGTTGAGCTTAATCGTCTTGAAGTTAATTGTGAGTTCTAATTCCTAATGACTAAGTTCAATACCCTGGTTTATTTCCCTACGGAAGGTCAGTACACTTTTACAATTCGTTTCAATGGCCAGATCTCATTTGTAGCTTCTCATGTGTAGTTACTCTACTTAATTGGTCTAATGTGTGTTGTACACGGCTAAAATCAAAGAGCCCGATTTATGGTCATTTCGACATTCCGTGGCTTCCCCTGGAGGGCCCGAGGTAAAGTTCGAGGTTTGACCCCGAGGGTTCCTTTGCTTGACCTCGGGGCAGCACGAATCGGTGGCTACCTTGGATAAGCGGGAGGTTCCCGAGGCACGTGACCAAAGCTGACAATACCTGCAAGAGTAGTACTAGTCTATACCAGGCTAGTAAATAGTTGTACCAGCAACATTTTTTTGCAATAATTAAGCATGTACCATGTTGGAATTTCCCCTCCTATATAAAGGGAACCCTTTTTGTTTTGTAAAGGGAGATAAGACATTGAATATAAGAAGAAGAACATTCTCTGCTCTAACTTAGACATATTCTCCCTTGAGTTCATTGCTTATGTTTATTACATTGCTTACTTTCATTGCGTTTCAATAAATTGTTCTTCATTTATCGCTCATTATTGATCATAAAAAGCCATCACCAAGGCTCTCGACCTCGAGGCCCCTTATAAGCCAGCTCGAGGCCCCGATCCTCGGCCGCTCGATTTGCTTGACACACTGCCTTCAAGCTCTTACCTCATTTTTAGTTTCACACTTAGCATCTATTGCTAACAAGTAGTATAAAAATAAATCACGTATTTTTAGAACCACAAAAATCAAATTAAATTGTAATTACCATTTTCACAGTAAATAGTATGGCGCCCACCGTGGAGCTAAAAATAATAGTGATTGTTTTCTTGCTGGTTTACTACATAATGCAAGTTATCTTTCACACTCTTTCTTGCCCAAGAATCTTTTATTTCAGGTCAAAATGTCTAACTCAGTGAATGAACATGAAAACAACGGTCCTGAGGACCATGGAGAGAACGGTGTAGCTATTCCAGATATTGGTGTACCGCCACGAAACCCTGAGGATGCACCAGAACCAATTCCCGTGGATGTGGTCTCACGCAATGCCCAACATGTCAGTATAAGCTCCCATGCTAACATGAGTATACACCATGAGAACCAATAGGAAGCTCGGAAAAATCCAGCCCGAGAAGAAGAAGAGGCGGATGGGAGAAACGGAACGAAAAAACCCCAGCACGTCGTTCATATGATCATCGGAGGGACCAACGTCCCCCAAGGACCCGTGATCAAGCGGTCAAAGATTTCTGCCGTAATAAAAGGGCAAATTCGGGGCCGCATGTCTGAGGACATCCTTGCCTTCAGTGAAGAGGACTTCGAGACCCTGTCTCTTCCCTATAACGACGCGCTGGTAATTTCATTTCTCTTGAATAATGTTCAAATTAAACGTGTACTTGTGTATCCAGGAAGCTCGGCCAACGTTATCAGGTCGAAGGTGGTAGAGCAACTCGAATTTCTCGATCAAATCATACCTACTTCCTGAGTCCTCAACGGCTTCAACATGGCCGACGAAACAACGAAAAGGGAGATCACCCTCCTGGTCAACGTGTCCGGCACAGTTCGAAACACAAAATTTCATGTCATTGAAGGTGACATAAAATACAATGCATTGCTTGGAAGGCCATGGATACACAGCATGAGAGAAGTGCCGCCGACTCTTCATCAGAAGATAAAGTTTTCGACAGAAGACGGTATAAAAATGGTATATGGGGAACAACATGCGGCGAAGGAGATAGTTGAGGTTCATGAGAAGGCACCAACCTCAATACCCTTCACCTCGGAACTGCTAGAGGACAAACAGTCCCCCGAGAACGACGAAGAAGACTTCCTTATCCCTGGAACCTTCATTGCCCCCGAAGAATCGGATGCAACAAAAATCAATAGTTGAAGAGTTGGAGCAAGTCGTTTTGATCGAGCATCTCCCAGATCGGAAGGTATACCTGGGAACGGGATTAACCCCTAAACTTAGGAAAAAATTCATTCAATTCCTTATTAATAACATCGATTGCTTTGTGTGGTCCCATTTAGATATGACAGGGATCCCATCAGAAATAACCACCCATCGACTAAGTGTCAACCCCAGGTTCAAACCGATGAAGCAAAAAAGAAGACCTCAGTCTGACGTAAAACACACATTCGTCAAGGATGAGGTAACAAAACTCCTTAAAATAGGATCTATTAGGGAAGTAAAATATCCCGAATGGTTGGCCAATGTGGTGGTAATTCCCAAAAAAGGGAATACGTTAAGGATGTGCGTAGATTATAAAGACTTGAATAGAGCGTGCCCCAAAGATTCATTCCCGTTTCCCAACATCGATCGCTTGATCGATGCCACGATCGGCCACGAGATCCTCACCTTTCTCGACGCCTACTCGGGGTATAATCAAATTTAGATGAACCTCGAGGAAAGGGAAAAACTTTGTTCATCACAAAGTATGGTACGTACTACTACAATGTGATGCCCTTCGGGCTAAAAACTGCGGGGACCACGTATCAACGCCTAGTTAATAAGATGTTTGAAAACCAAATAGGCAATCCCATGGAATTTTACATTGACGATATTCTAGTTAAGTCCTTGCACGCAGAGGACAATTTAACTCATTTGCAGGAGACATTCAACATCCTCACAAGCTATAACATGAAGCTCAATCCCGAGAAATGTGCCTTCGGAGTGGGTTCGGGCAAATTCTTAGGCTTCATGGTGTCAAACAAGGGGATTGAGATCAATCCCTATAAAATCAAAGCCATTGAAGAGATCACGGTGGTAAACAATGTGAAAGCCGTGCAATGGCAGACTGGGCGAATAGCAGCTTTGGGCCGATTCATATCAAGGTCATCTAACAGGAGTCATCATTTCATCTCCCTACTAAAAAAGAAAAACAGCTTCGAGTGGACTCAGGAATGCCAACGTGCTTTAGAGGAATTGAAGCGATATCTAACGAACCCGCCTTTAATCCACACTCCAAAAGAGGATGAAACGCTGTATTTGTACCTGGCTGTGTCCGAGGTAGCGGTAAGTGGTGTGCTAGTTCGAGAAGAGCAAGGTACGTAATTGCCTGTCTATTAAGTAAGTCGGACCCTAGGAGATGCCGAAACCAGGTATCCGCACCTAGAAAAGTCAGCTCTTGCATTGATAAGCGCATCTTGAAAACTAAAGCCTTATTTCCAATGCCATCGTATTTGTGTTTTAACAACATATCCACTCCGAAGCATATTGCATAAGTCCGAATTATCAGGACGTCTGGCCAAATGGGCGATCAAACTCGGGGGGTACGAAATCGAATACCAACCCCGAACAGCAATCAAGTCCCAAATTTTAGTGGACTTTGTGGCCGACTTCACACCTGCCCTCGTGCCCGAGGTAGAGAAAGAGCTTCTACTAAAAACGGGCACATCTTCGGGAGTATGGACCTTGTTCACTGA